TCTCTTCCCATCGATTATTAAATCAAATGAAATTATTTTCTTTGAAAACACTTGTATATTATATTTAGCCACGTTTTATGAATTATCCAAAATTTTTACTTTCCAGTAGAAGTCAGTGAAGTTTTGTTGTAGGATAAAATGATTAATTATAGCTAAGTATTTGTATTGTACTTAATTTAGCTCATTTTGTGAAGATTATTTATCTGTTTTGCTATTAAACCTGAAAATTATATTTAAAAAGTATCACCATTAAATCTAACGAAGGTCTACATCTGCATCAACCTCTTAGAATGTGGGTGTAAATTATACCATTCATTAATTCATTAATTGCAGTCATGGGCCACACAAAATCACTCTAAGGTCCGAAAATGGCCCTTGGGCCACACTTTGGTCAACCCTGATTTACAGTAAAAGGGAATTTTCTTTTTGGAAATCGCTAAATTTGTGGCTTATTTAATTGTCAGCTGTTCGTCCAGCTAAATCTTTTTAACAACTGTATTTAAATATGCTTACAGGTTTCCTTTTCTATAAATTTCTAGCTAAAATGTATATTTTTACTATTGGAAAAATCTAAAAGAAGCAGCAATACTTTTGATTAATATTAAAAATGTCCATCCTTCACTGGAGTGCATCATTTATACCAAGTCAAACACAAAAATAGATCTACTCATCCAACTTATTTCTGTTTTGATTCAATTTCCATGGTGTGGTACATTGGGACAGCATGGTACATCACAAATACTATGTGTCTAAAGTCTATTAATCTGTTTTCATTTTGCTTTGTAGAGGCTGAAAGGGACTGAAGAGTCTCTGCTTGGAGTCAGAATGTTATGAAAACTTACTGAATGGTGAAGATAATGTCTGTTTGAGAGGATAACCTTGTCCTACTGTGACACCGAGGTCATTATCTCTTATTTTTGCTTTTCTTGGAAACTGTATTCTCAGAAACAAGATCCAGAATGTCCGACAACGTGGAAGCTTTTCTATAAACCAGATGTCAAAATAAATTTTCTCCAGCTGTCAACTCTTGTCTTTAGTTAATTATGAAGTAAATTAAACCCACACAACCATTTGTGCTGAACTTCAGCTCTGGTTTATCTAAATTCATAAGAAAATTTGTGTGCTGGAGAGTTCCTAGTCCCAAGGAATTAATAACCCCATTCTAAGCACTATTTATCATCAAGTTGTGATGAGTTTTAAATAAGCTGAACAATAGATTTCTGTGCCAAACCAAACCAGTAACCTTCTGTTTATGACATCATATTTAAATGTAATAATAACCAAGACAATACCAATAAGAAAAACAAATAACAGAATTTTCAAACATGGCATTAATAAATACCATATAGCTCCGCTTTGAAAAAAGACCTCAGACGTTAAGATGTTGTAAGATTGGAAACATGAGAAATGTTTACCTTCCAGAGAATAAAGATGACGAGTGCTAAGATCAGCAGTCCTATCAGGATGCTGATGATGATGATCCAGATGGGGATTCCTTCGACCGTTTCTTTTGAAACTGGGATTCTCACCTGATAAACACAAAGAAATATATCCTGAGGCATGCTCAATAATCCAGGTAGAAAAATCTAACAAGGAAGAGTCCATCCAGATGACCTGGCATAACCTTGTTAGACAAAGAAATATAACACATGTGCTCACTTACATTTTCCCTTCTGCATTGATACATTTTTAATAGGAATGCATGATATTATCGGCATGGTATCGTATCGGCCGATATTGGCGATAAAGTTAAATATCAGACCTCGGACATTCCATCAAAATGACTCACCGATATAAAAGGCACACATATATAAGCGCTATTTTTGTATGACAACACAGTGACAAGGATGCCTGCAGCGCCAGCACAACGTTATGATGTCACGCACGCCTACCTGATCTGATCATAGCGGAGGAGGAAGGAGTGAAAATGTCGGCGGTGTGTAAGTTTGTTAAAGTGCCAGAAACTGAAAGCAGAACTGCTATTTGCAATGACTGCTCAGCGTCAGTGATGCGAGGAGGAGCGAAAACGAAGTCCTACAACACTTTGAACCTAATTAACCATCTCAAGAACCGCTATTCTGACCATTACGATGAGTTCATGGTGGCCAGGAAGGAAAGCGAGAGAACAGTCAACCGTGGAGAAACAAAACCTCACGAACAGTCCATCCATCCAAAGACCATGCAGAATAATTTAGTATTTTAATTCCACAGCAGAGAAAGCTATGTAGTCTCTATATAGGTCTAGTGGGAAAAATATCGGTATCGGGTATCGGGTATCGGCCAAATAAGTTTTAACATATTGGCACATCGGATATCAGCCACAAATTCAATATTGTGCATCCCTAATTATTTAGACTATAAAAGTATATAAAATAGCTTGAACTTACACTTCTGTGCTTGTCATTGCTGTTGAGCTCGTATAGTTGTTCGTTGGTAATCCTCAACGTACCATTCACCGTCATGTACAAACTGGAAAATTCGCCCTGTGAGACAAAAGTGTTCTTAAATGTCCAGTCTCATTCATCAGTAAGGACAGCTGCTAGTACATAATATTCAGTGTTAACTTGGAGTTTATCTTACATCCATTGAAGCCAAAAAGTCCTCTTGTTCCTTCACACTTACCTCGATAAACGTAGGTTTCCACACTCTGAAAGTAACGTTGACCTGACTCAGTTTGGTTTCGGGGATGAAGCAGTCGATGAACGCGCAGTCTGTTTGTCCACATTGCTGCAGAGACATTTATTCAGTGAGACACAAAGAGGACTATCTCAGCAGACTTTGCAAAATAAAGCTCATTGCTAACCAGCAAAAAGACACTGAGGGTTTCCTTTTTGGGTTTGAGCGCCTTCACAGAAGGGTTGCTTTTATCCCAATTCATCCAGCGCTCTTCGTTACATTTGACCTGCAGGACAGCGAGATGCAGACATGAACGTGACGGCTTGTTTAGATTGTGCAGTGTGTATGTGTGTGTGCATACCCCTGAGCTGGCGGAGAAATGTGTCAAGTCGAGTATCTTGTTCTTCAGCGGAGACAGATGAGGAAACGACACTATGAGGTTAAGAGGCGGAGTCATCACATCGCCTGACCTCTCCACCTGAGAGCAGGAGAAACACAGAAGAGTGGAACTTCCGTCTGTGCAGCAAAATAAATCAATTATTTGTATGAAAAACCATAATTTATGATAGTCGTGCATCAAAGTTACCGTATAGTTGATGTTGACCTCCTCCCAAGTCAGCTTAGTGTCGTTGTGCTTCAAAGCATACTGGTCACCATCTTTAACTACGATGTGTGCGTCCACAGGATTCCTGGAAGGTTCATAATTTTAACAAGTCAGCCATTCAGTCGCTGCATTTTCGTCTTTTTTTCTTAAAGTGGGATTCCAAGGAGCTGTGGCCTTCGTCGACTTGTTGGCAACTCAAAATTGCAAGAAAACAGGATTTTTCTGTTGTAGTCTCACTGAGGTCTGAATATTTGCAATCAGAGAGCTGTGTTTGCATTTTAAGCAGTTTTTTTTTTAAAATAATGGTTTATATTCATGCACATGGCTTGCAAAAGTGCACTTTTGGTCATGCACGTTATTTTGTTGTCCACTTCTGACAACATTATGGTCACTTCGGCTCACTTTGTGCTTGGCATCCAAACCAAGTTTATGATTTAATTTGCTGAAGCCAACTTTTGAAGTGAAGACAGGCAGTTTTGGAGCAGTTTATTGATCATTATCTGTCATCAGGGTGGTTTTTAGACCTGAACATGTGCCCCGGATGTTTTCTGTCAGAGAAGAGCTCCCATGCATGTGTCAAAGTATTGCTCTGGTGCTCTTGAGGCAGGCTGGAGACACCCATGACAAATAATAATAATAATAATTTTTTAAAAATCTGGCAGTATTGTTCTATATTTTACAAGAGGAATTACATGTATATAAATTAGTGCCATGTGAAAACACATCGTCATAGTTTCATTTGTCATTATTTCAGCCTTACAAAACACAACACCAATGAAATGGGATTATTTGAGGCTAAAAACAGTTTAAAAACCACAAAACAATTTTAATCCTGAAAGGAGTTTTGCATATATTTGTTTCTGTGATAATAATCAATTAAAAATATTTCAGCTAGCATTTGTGATAATTTTGGATTGAGTGAATCAGGAAAAACAGCGTATATTATAATGCATATTTGTTCCTCAGGATTTTTAAAGGAGGCACGACAATGGGAAAAATATGCAGCAGGTACTGTAGCTTGCAGTTATGAAATGTCCCAAATAAAGAGTAAGTGGATATTTAAAAAAAAAATGCAAAAAGCATTACTGACAACCTTATTTGTGACTATCCAGTGCGTAATCGTGCACAAAAAGACTCAAAGATTACCCACAACCTGTCAGATTACTGAAGTCTTGACAATAACTTTGCACCAAGCCACATCTGTGACACCTCATATGTTTGTTGCTCCTGCACTATGTGGCTGTATCACGTATGTCACTACCTTACCATCATACTTCAATTAACCTCAGTGTAACTCAGTACCTGTGCAATAACCTGTCACACAACCTATGTAGTATAAGTTATGTGCAAAATACTGTATATCATGTGCGTTTAAGTGTATATTACCACCTGTGAAATACTTATTTATACTAATTCATCCTACTTGCATCATTATATGCTACCATGTTGTTTACTATATTTCTTTTGGACCTTGTAAATATCATATTTCTTTTCACTTTTGGTACTTTATTTTGTACCCTTATTGCATGCTTTAGTATTTCTTGTTTTGTTTTTATAGTGAGTCAATTTGGTTCTTTTCATCATGAACATTTAATTGCATTGTTGACCTTGCGTTAACCTGCATATAACAAATGAACTGAACAAAGCGAAATAAAGCAAAGATTGTGCATATTTCTGCAGCTACTCACACTCTGAATATGACTCCAGGTTCATACTTCACAGGGATGGAGATTGTTACAGTATTGTCAGAAGACGACAACTCTTCACTGTCGCTGTGGAAAAATGCACAAAGGGAACATTATAAAAAAAAGTGACATTTTAATGCGCCACACAGAAACCATGATTTTAACACAATCCATTCAGACTTAAATAGGTGCAAACATCTTTAACTCACCTTGTAGCTGTCAGGTTGATTTGGATGTTCTCCTGTATTTGGTTAGGGTTTGTCTCAAACCTCACTTTGAAATTCTCCTGTTCAAACCACAGCACAGGGTAACGTTAAATCGAGCTCTTACTTTAGCTGTGGTAAAAGCAGTAAGAACATCTGAAGCTGACCTCTGTATTTTGTCCCAGGAAGGGATATCCAACAGCACACTCCACTTTCGTATGATTCAGAGTGCAATCCTTCTCTGGCTGACAAAAAAAATGAATAACACATGGTCACCTATGTTGCTTAAATCTACTGTGTCCACTAAAGTGACTCAGGATGAAGGGAAGCAGAAATCCCACCTCGACTTTAACATAATTGATGTTTGGTGTGAAGCTGATGTTCACTTTGGTGTTGTAGGCACTGTCTCTGCTGTTCCTTACTCGGATGTTCACGTCAATCTTGTCTCTTGCATTCGCTTTAATCAGCATGCTGCAGAAGAAAATCAAAGTTGTCAGCTTGGTTGCGATGTGCATGTCTCCCCACAAGAGCGCAGTCATGCTCTGCAGGGCCTTGAGGGCAGCTGAAACCCACTTTGTGTGCTGTAACTGTTTTTAAAATGAACTAGACTGAACTGTTTTGCTTTGAAATTAAAGCTTCATCCGGGTGCTCCTTTTCTTCATACAATCCAAGTTTAACATTAATTGATGGATGAATTATGTTTATAATTATCTCTGTTTGCTCAAATGAAGGAACTTCATGCAAAGATGAAAATCACTTTTAATTAAAGCTTCTTGTAGTTTTATCTTCAGCCAATTTAAGCTAAAATTTGATAAGAAAAGAGGGGTCTTGTTTGGTTTAAAACAAATAAACGTGCATTTTAAAGTTAATTCGCAATACCTTTTGACACTCGGCTCCGCTGTGAGCGACAGTTCACTGACGCACTTTCCGTCACCTCCACAATCCATCAGAGGAATCTACATGACAGAAAAGTCCAAGAAAACAACTCATTTACCAAAACCATTTCAGACGTGTGGGCAAAGTGAGTGGTTCAAAATAAAAGCTGCAAGTTTAAACTTCTTTTTGTAGCTTCTTCAAATGTTGAGAAGTATAAAGTATTTTGGTGTATGAGGCTTCCTGAAGGTCAGTTTGTTGGATGAAAACGTGGAAGTTTTGCTGCATCTACAAACATTTACACAGCCGGTTATCACAACAGAGAAAGCAGAATATCCATTTACAACACAAGCAGAGGGAGAGGCTGCACTTTCTGCTCACGGCACGATTCCATGAGTTTATCTTTACACTGACGAGCTCTTTAGCCCTTTGCTTATTTTAAAATACGTTATAGTCACCCTATAAGATGTGAATCAGACAAGTGCACAGAAGATAAACTTTCAAATACTAAACCTGGTCCTCTCTATGGAGCGCCAAAATGGTCCAAATTAATTAAATAAATAAATAAATAAATAAAACATTATATCTAAGCTTAATATTATGAATTTTTTTCATTTTTATTCTTTTATTTCATAATGACACTTTTCAGCAGAATGACTTCAGCTGTCAATCAGCATCAGTTTGTTGGAGCTGCACGCCCACTGGCTGATTCCTCACACCCATCCTGAATACCTGCTCACTGCACAGCTACAGCTAACCATAGCAGCTAGCAATGACTTGCTTTGGTCAGTGGTCATGAAGGATGGCAGAGTTGCATGAACTTGGTTCAGCTCTGGTTACTTTAGCAGCTTAACCTGAGCTGAACCAAGTTCATGCAACTCTGCAAACCTTTATATCAGCATATGGGCGTGCAAGCCCAACCCACTGACTCTGATTGACAGCTGAAGTCATTTTGCTGAAAAGTGTCATTATGAAATAAATAAGCTATCATGAAATTTCATTTTGGTGTTCCATAGCCATACAGTCGCAAAAGCTCCTTTCAAAGCTTTCCTTTTTTTGTTTGAAGATTATAATTTAGATTCTCAAACATTTGTATACTAAAATTCAGAGAGTGCAACATAAATTTGCTTTTTTTTTTTTTTTACATAAATAGTTGTTAAACAATTAAACAGTTTAATGAGCTACAACCAAAACAGATGTTTCAAATTTAGTCAGAGAAAGTGATGATGTTCCTGCAGAAAGTGTCTCAGGCTGCAACAAAGATGCTACAGCTAGCCTCTACTGCGACCACAAATAACTTTAAAGAGTTATTTGAATAATGATGTAATGAAATATCAACAAGATGTACACATTTTTTAAATAACTGTTCATTTAAACTGTTATAAAATTGTATATTGTAGATGATTTTAGGCAGTCAGCTATAGGCCTCTTAGTCCCGCCCACTGAGTTTAACGAGTGAGACTAACAAGATTAAATAAATAAATAAATCACGAAATAAATAATTTAATTATATATTTAATATTTAAATGATACATTTCATTATTATGTATTTATTTAATTTCATTTTGTCACATTCTGCCCTCCATACTCTTAAACTAGATGTTAGCTTGTCAATCCATTCGTGTTAAACTTATTTCTCCAAACAACAATCAAAATGCTAGTTACTAAAACATCTATTTGTCACCATCCTTCCAAATATCTCATTACTGCTTTAAAGCTGTTATGAAAAACAAAATACTTCAGTGGTTTGTAACAATTAAGGTTAGGAACATTAATCATCTGTAGCCAGATTTTTTTTATTGTTTTGGGTGTTTGCAGTTCTGACGTTATCTGCTAATGTGAATAAATGATCATGAGTTGTCATTTAAAATGAATATTATGCATTACTTAAAGCAAATAATTTATAGTATTGTTTAAATCATCTTGAGGAGGTTGTAAACTGATTTTTACATTGAGGTGCAATTATTAACTTAATTTTCTTTTTGCTATTTGAGCGTTGGTTGGACTCATAACAGTGTAATAAGATAACAAGTGTTGTTTTTGAGACACTGGACTATTATTTGCTGCATGATGACAAAAGAAAAAAGCTTCTGTTTATGACTTCCCCTTTCTGTGAGCTTTCTGTCTCTTGGCTTCAGTAACAACAACAGGAAAAGTCCTAAATGTGCCCCTTTCTACAGTAAGTAAAGCAATGGACGTTGCTGCTGTGTGAAGGCTTTTAAGCACAACTTGTGTGTAATGGTGCTGTTTTCACATAAACACAGAAGCCGACAACTCCTGTGTTGGTTCTTTGCTTTATCTGGAAAAGCCACTCACTCCACAATTATCTGAAAACCTTCTAGTTAGAGCAAATATGCATGTGGGAGTGTGGGAAGCTTGTCCTGGGTGTTAAAACACTAATGGAGACTAGGAGAAACTCTGAAGGATGGCAATCAGCTGCTACAAACACTAATGTGCTGTAACAGCAACGTGTTAGGAGCCAGAAAAAATAAATCCCCTCACGATATGCTCATACAGACAGACGAATGGAAGATGTTTAAGATGAAGCTCAAATCATCACAACTGCACTTTCAAAGGACGTTAAAGCTACATGAAAATATCCCTTGTGTGTGTTTAAAAAAACATGTGCAAACTCAAAAGCTCAAGGTAAATGAGAACAACCCTGACACTTTGTGGTAGTTTCTGTTTGAAATGAAGAATTTGACATTTGCCCCGTTTGCACCATCAGGACGTTACAGCAGTGGTGCCAGAACTTATGGTGGCAGTGAGGTGTAAATGAAGAACATTTGAAAAAAGAAAATTACATTTGAAACAACTGAATTACATTAAGCCAAAGCAGAAGTGGCCAAAGCGGAAGTAGCCAGAATCAAATGTGAAAAAAAAAAAAAAAAAAAAAAATTACATTTGAAAAATTGTAATTTGAATTTGAAAACATTTTTGCTTTTTTCAAATGTGATTCTGTTTTTTCAAATCCGCTTCGGCCACTTCTGCTTTGGCTTAATATAATTCCGTTTTTTTTCAAATGTGATTCCGGACACTTCCGCTTTGGCCACTTCTGCGTTGTCTACTTCCGCTTTGGCCACTTCCGCTTTGTCCACTTCCGCTTTGTCCACTTCCGCTTTGGCCACTTCTGCTTTGTCCACTTCCGCTTTGTCCACTTCCGCTTTGGCCACTTCTGCTTTGGCCACTTCTGTTTTGGCCACTTCCACTTTGGCTTAATGTAATTCTGTTTTTTTCAAATGTTGTTCATTTACACCTTAGGGCCACCGTACATCACTGCTCAACATGTGTATCAAATCACATTCACAATGAACTATTCCCTCTCGGTGCTTTTTACTTTGCTGTTGCCATTTTGAGCAAAGAATGAAACAGAAGTGTCATGTCAGGTTAATCTAGTTGCTTTTAAAGAACATATTACAGTACGTCATCACATCCTGTTCTTCCAGTCATTTGATGCCGACTGAGTTAAAGGAACTTGATAAGAGAAAACTTACGGTTTTATTGATGGATTTGGGAAGAGTTTCATCCAGGACAGGCCCTTGATCTTCTTCAACTAGTCCAAACTCCAAAGACACCAAAACGGGGTCCCTGAAGTCGGGCCGGGGCTGAGACAGAGGAATGAGGACGAGGACACAGAGAAAAATAAAGGAAAGAAAATGAAGAGAATGTAAGCAAACAGAAGAAACGAGCCTCAATTGTCCATATTATTTAAACCAAACCAAACATAAAATTGACTGAAAGCTTTATGAATGTTGAAAGTTTCACTGTGACTGACATCAGATCTACCTGTGCTGAACAACAGGGAGTTATGGCTTCAACCTGCCTCTTCTCCACATGTACACAATCTATATTTGCATCTTTTCAGCTCCTAATAGCAAGAATTCATTATTTGAACATCCCACTCCAACTTCTGTAAGGCTGCTGTCCATGTGTAACCCTTTATGTTCAGCATCTACGGGTCCAGTGGAGTCGGATTCTGAAGAAACGATGAAACCATGTCACCATGGCATTGAGTCTCAGATGAATCTTTTTAACTTCTTGTGGGATCTGACACAAAGATTTAAAGTGTGTTTGGAGAGCAAACACTCTCCCTGTCCTCTGTTAATATAAGTCTTTCAACCTAGTGTAAAGATAAAACTTTACAGGTGAACCACCCATCCTTCTACTCTAAACAAAAACATCACCCTGATGAGAGAGCGAAGGTCAGATAATCAGGATTCATCCTCTGGGAACCATCAACGTCCACACAAATTTATGTATCAGTCCAGATTGCAGATGTTGAGATGATGTTTTTACGTTTTAAGTTAGAGGAGGGCAAACAGCTAACACAGCAGTTGGTGATTACCTGCTGAAAAACAAACTAACTACGTGGACATGTTTACATTTACTTCACTAAATCCTATGTTATTTTAAAAAAAGTAACTGGTCATTGATACAAACTAGAAAAAGATGCAGAGGTGTCAAACAGCAACAATAGGGGATCAAAATGAACAACTTGATTCAAACTAAGAGTCATTTTCAGTCATTATATTAACTCAAGTCAGATGTGTGACATCTTTTCTTGGTTGCAGGTTTCTCAAGAGTTTGATTGGTCACATTTGACGTTCTCTGTTGCTCTTTTCACATCAAATCAAAGATTGCTGAATATTTCAAACTAACTTCTTTTGGCTTGAAAATTGATAGTCTGCCAGAGGAATGCAATAAAAAAGAAAAAGTATGCTCAGTTTTTAAGCAAAACGAGAAGCAATAAAAATAGTTTGCATTTAAAGTATGGGGGGGGGGGGGGCATTTAAGATGTTAATAGGGGCCATAGCTGGTCCTGTTGGCCTTGAGTTTGAGACATGAGAACTAGTGGAAAAGTCTGGCTGGATTTAATGCAATTAATGAAAAACATAAAAAGTTCAA